AGCACCTAATTTACATCCAATAATCAAGATTAATTGTGACCACTTTGTACTAAAGGTAAATGGTCTCATTGTATATATATATATATAAAGTTTTCTCAACACCTATAGGCGAAAATGAATAGTGATTTCTAATATGCTCATCACCATCCAAAGTTCATCGTACGGTCACGATTGTCCGGTAGTATTTTAATTTTAAATATTTTTCTATAAATTTGAATGATCTAAAATTTGGAGTATGTGTACATCTTAGTAAGGCGAACCTAATAAAAATATGAAAAAAAAATATTTCACAAACTATAATTTGACCAAAATAACGCCATTAAATTTTAGGGGTATTTTGGTCAGTTTATATTTTACAAATTATTTTTTTAATATTTTTATTAGATTTTTATATTTTTTATGAACATACACTCCAAATTTCAAATCATTCTGATTTATGAAAAAAAAAAAAAAAGTTGAAACACTACTAGATAAATATAACCGTGCGATGAATTTTGGATTGTGATGAGCATAGGCGAAATCACTGTTTATTGTCGCCTATAGGCGTTGTGTAGTGTTTTTCATATATATATATATATTACGGTGCTACACTATAGAGCATTTTATAATTGTACTCAACAAATATTGAGCACTTACGTACCCTTATTATATATAAAGAGAGAGAAAAGAGAGTTTCAACAAAGGGTATGGTGCAATGGTAGGGTTTCTAGAGGGTGGAGGGGTGTCGCCAACTTCCAACTAATTGATTTGGAAGCGAAAGGGGGGAACCTCTTACAATTTGGTAATAATAAGAAAAAATGTTTCATGCAGACTGGACCGTATTTTTGCATATGGGGTCCAGAAAGTGTAAAGCATCTATTTTAAAGATAGAGGCAAGTAGGTGTTCCATCTAAAAACAATAGAAACTAACGGTCTAAATGTTTTCTTACTATAATTATTATTTTTAGTTTTTAAAAATTATTTGTTTTTCCATATTCATGATCTTCATATTAGAGATTATATGACTTTAAAAATTAAGTCTTAAAATCCATCTCAAAAATAGATTTATTCATAAACCTGTATTTCTACATATACGGGCTTGGCCGCATAGAAACCGGCTCCTAATAATACTAACAACAAATATTCCTGTGAGACCTCTTCTTTTGGCACATATAACATGCTCCCTCAACGACACACCAAGCATCTAAGCTAGTTTCCCTTTATCTTTTTCTGCATGATGGCGCAGTTGAGGGGTATACACATAATTATGAGAATAACACGTATCCTATTTTCATTTAAATTGTAGTCATGGTGGGTTTCGGTTGATAAATAGATTCTTTTATCAACTACTGGCCATTGGCTTAACACTGAAGTAAGATAACATACAGTTACATATTAATAAGTTTTTAAGTGATGGAATAATTTATAAGTATAGGTAACTATATGGTTATCATCATCAAAACCATTTTCTAACTAATTGGGGTCAACTAAATGAATATCAGTCCGTCACTCTGCTCTATTAAGGGCTATATCCTCAATAAGGTCATACGTCTCCATACATTTCCTCACTACTTCCAACATTCTTCTGTTAGGTCTACCCCATGTTATTTTTTAGTCTTCCATTTGAAATAATTCGTATTTCCTAACAGATGTTGTGCTGGGTTTGCGCTACACATAGCCAGCCCACTTAAGTCTATTCACTCTTTTCTTATCACCCATCGGTGCCATACTTAAATTTTTCTGAATGTATTCATTTTGAATCATATCCCTTATTGTCTTGTCATTCATCCATCTTCATTTTCGCTACACTTATTCTATGGGTATATTGTTTTTTAATCGCCCAACAATCCACCTCATAAAGTAAAGTTGGTCTCACGATTGTCTTATAGAACTTGTCATGCAGCTTCATTGGTATGCGCTAATCACATAAAATTTTGATTATATATTTTCATTTCGTCTACCCAGCTCTAATTCTATGTAAAATATCTTCCTCCATCTTTATAGTTTTCTAGATTATTGACCCAAGATAATTCAAAAATTAGTATTTGAACAACTTTTAGGCATTGATGCTCCGTAGACACGTTGTGCTCTTTATCGGTAACTCATTTTTGTTTAGGAAAAATAATATGAAGATATGTCAAGCCAACATAAAAAAACAAGTACAAAATTAAACCACTAGAAGGAATAGTCATAACCTCAAATACCAAACCATCAAAATTAATAACTTTACTGGAAAAAAATAAATGACAGTATAATGGCTTATCACGATTTATATAGTCGACTCTAATTAATTGGAAAATTTTTTTGACGATAATAACTTGAAAAAATAAAAGACATAAAAGAAGCCAAAGAACATATAAAGTAAAAAAAACTACAAACTTGCATAATCTCTTATTGTATATCAATGTACTTTCACATGGCATATTTACATCGACATTTGTGTGAATGCTCGTTGCATTTCTATATATGTTTTATGTTTATAAGAAGCATTTCTATATATGTTTCATTGCATATTCACGCTATTATTTATCTCATTGCTTATTTCATATCTACGTGCAATGTACATAATCCCACTTATGTTTGAAAAATGAGAAAATGTTGAAAGTGAAGTGTAGCGGTCAGGAGTCGCTTTACACAGAGCCCAGGAAAAGGCAAAGACAAATCGAGGATCTGTGTTTGCCTACCCATCCCTATATCCCAAACAAACAAAGGTCAGATTTTCGAGAAAAAGATACTTTTTTAATAAGAAAAGACGAGCTCGTCCTTTCCGGACTTCAAAATGGTTTTATTACGGTTTACCCCAAAAGCGATTTCTTCTACCCGCCCTTAAGTTTGAATATTTTTGGAGTGAACCATTTAGTGCCCCAAACGTTCACCCAATTGCCCTAGTGTGATTCCGAAATAGCCCTTTACGTCGCTCCGCTGACCATTATGCCCCTCCTTTTTTTATTTTTGAGTAGCCATCTTTCTCTACGATTTTATAGGCTTATTGTTTAGAATTATCTTTTCATGAGATTTGTATACGTAAGAGGTTTATATAAGGTTGCAATCTTAACAAGTAGAATTAAAGGTGCAAGTCGTTTGCATGTTGAAAGGCCTTTTAATTGATTATTTTGACATCGAGATGTATAAATATGGAAAGAGACAAAAGATTTCGAGTCCACAAAATAATGTATCCAATATATTATTTGGACCGTCTATTTTCAAGATTTTCACGTGTTTATAGATCTACTTGATTTGAATCATTTTTAAAGTTTAAAATTTTATAATTAAAGATAAAAATAGAGTCCCAAGCCACCATGAAAATTGTTTATACCAAAATTACATTTATGATAAAATTTAGAGGTGTGTTTTAATTAGATTGTTTAAGATTGCAACCTTGTATAAACCACACATTTTTGTATGAAGTGCCAATTTTAAACAATCCAAATAAAATGTGCTTCTAAAGCTCATCAAAAACATGTAATTTTGGTATCAGAAATTCTAATGATTATCTCAAAATATACAATTATGAAATTTAAAACTCAAAAAATACTGTATATTACAAAAATCTACGAATAGATGAAAATATTGTAAATTAATTGGATAATTAATTTAAGTTCAATTTTTATAATTTCTGTAAATTTTATTTCCCCTATTAATCTTGTGCATTGCGCTAATGCACATCTGTATTGTATGTTACATGCTACACCATTGATCCTTTTTTATCAGTGGTGGAGATTAACCCTAGTTTCCAGTGACAGATGTGCACTTGATCACGGATAATCTTTAACGTCCATCATTCAGAACGGATGGTGGATGGCCATTTTCACGCGCATCAGTGAGAAACTACTGTGCTTAAGGGTATTATTGGCACATTGCAAATTTAAGGGCATTTCTGACACAATTTAAGAGATAAAGGAACATTCCGTAAATTGCACATGAGGAGGGCACTTATGCTATTTCCCAGTATCTAATGGCTCGTTATTTTTTCTCTCCAGGCATGACTCCATTTTAAACTTCGTGCTCAATGCTTCCTCCTAAAAATGCTTGTTCTCCCAGAGTCTCTGAAGATACTGTGAAGCACCTTTAATGGCGGAAAAGTACGGACGCGAGGGTTTTAAAGGGCATTTTGGTCATTCTCTTCTTCCTGCGATCTGACTGGTAAGTTAAGCTACAGTAATGTAGAGATAGGGAGAGAAATGGTTTAAGTCTGCCCAACTTTAGCTGAAAAGATTGTTGATACACTATTTTGATTAATACATTTCTTGTGTAAAGACTATCACAAGGAGCTTTCCATTTTTCTGCAACTTTTGCTTCTATTAAGATTCTTCTCCGATGTAGTTATTGGCTCTCTCTCTCCCTTTCTCTCTGCAGATATGCCTTCTCTTTCTCTTTCGATGACTCCCTTTGTCAGATGAGTGAATGTAAGCAACTGCTACACAAAAAAGAAAAAAATAGAATAAAAGGAAGCTCACACAGTAATGGTGTTTTCCCTCATTGATTTTTCTTTCTTCTTATGGATTTTGAATCAACTTATATATATTTTTTCCTGTTTTGTTCAGTTAAAAACACTATTAGTTTTTGTGATTTTTATGTATTTTAGTTTTTTTGTAGGATGAATGCTAAGTATTGGCTAAATTTATGTTCAAATGGCATTATCCGATTATTGAGAATAATATTTGTGAAATGAAAATCATATTATATGTTAGCCTGTTAGATTTCTTTTATCGTATTAATTTATTTTATCAAAAAACTAAATACTAGGATACAAATACATTATAATTTTATCAAGGTCTTGGCTAAAGATTGTCAGGTTATTATGATTTATTTCGAAATTTTAAATCTTTTATTGTTCTTTCATGAGAGCTTTCTTATTTTATTTTTTTCGATGTATTATTGTTTTTTTGGATATTTTATTATTTGGAGGAAGTCCCTATTATTCCCTTCTTTTGTGATGATGACCAAAATGACCTGCAATTTCCTGTAAATCCAGTGACTCGCACGGTTCTATATTCCAAGTAATCGGCTGAGGACATCATTGCCATTAGGTTACATTTCGCAGGGTCTTATGGTCATTTTGCAAATAATGAACTTACCAACTTTTACAAAAAAACAAATATATTCAGAAAGTCAGATTTGAGCGCTTTTTTCCTGCTCGCAAAAGCCGACTGAATCAAATAGAAAAGAGTACCCTGTTTTTGTATCTGATTTTTCAGAGAAATACACGGTTTCTGAATCTGAGTCGTCCATTTGATTAAAGCTGAATCTTAGCCGTCCATATCATGCATTCTTACTGTACTCATTTGTGAAGTGGGCCATTACTTTTTTCCATAGTGCAAAGGTGCGTCATTACTTACTACGCGCACATTGCTCCTCCTTATTGTCACCAATAAATGCATATCTCAATTCAAACTCTCTCTCTCTAGAATGGGCTTTGAGAATGTTGGTCCTCTCTCTCAAGAATGGGCTCTGAGAATGTTGGTCCTCGCCTATCGTAAATATTTATCATGGAAAAGAAAATATTCATTATTCTTATTTTATAATACTTTCCTCTTTCTGCTTTTCTCTCTCTCTGATACTATTTAGTCAGTCAAATGTAGGCTTATGGTTGGTGTTGGAATTTCCAATTTTGGCCGAGATCTCTTGCATATGAATATTAAAACATACTGTTTTTTTTTTTAAAGTACAAAAACATATTGGTAATTATTGATGCATTTTTTGTTGGGCAAACTGATTTGCTTGTCTCTAGTTCTTGAGAGAAAAAATTCGTGCCCATAATTTATCCATTTTGATGGATTCTCCCTGTTCATTGGCCCAAGTTTTTTTTTTTTTTTTTTATTCTGATTTTAAGCAAGTAAAGAAATATATTATTTTGATGCGCTCCTATATTCATTTATCTGTCAATAAATGCCCAGAGTATGGGCCAACAATGGCGACATTTCAACTAAAAAAATCACCGCCCCTTCTTTTATTCTTCTACTTTTAGTATCGTGATAGAGAAAAGTGAATTAGTGAAGGTAAATTTGTTTAGTGCATTTCTCCAAAGATTTATGGAAAAGGGTTGTTCTTCTGAAAAATATATTTGAGAGTTGAGGGAAAGGAACCTTTAAAGTTTCATGTTCTGGTAATTGTGATTTGAGTTTCATTGTTTGAGATATGACCATTATCATTTCTTTTATCATCATCTTTTGTTTTTTTGGGGGCTGCAATGTGTTCTACAAATCCACATTCATAAATACCATGCACTTCCTCACCAGGTTTGAGATGGAATTCGCTATCCTGGTTTTCTCTGGAAAATGAAATCCTTATTTTTCTGGTTCTTTTAGGTTTGACACTTGCTGGTGATATTACTATGACTAATGCACAATGTATTTCTAGGAAATTTCAGACCATGCATTAAATGGTTAGTTCATTGTATCAAAAGATTTGAAATGCTATGTGATTTTCACTATATCCAATGATCCCGGGGAAGCTTTAAATGCCATGTTCATGCCCATGTTTGTGGATAGAGAGCCCAACTGTGATGTTATAGAAAGCATTTATGGCAAAAGTCATGGGGACACCTCACATGTGGTGGTGCATCCTCTCTCTCACTAAATCACTTATTCCTTACCTAATCAAATTTAATCCTACCCCAGCTTGTCACCTTTTTGCACAACAAAGCTGGGTTAAGCCCAACATATTACTTCTAAATAGGGGCACAATGGTCCACTTGGTAAATTAGGACCACCCATATGCATTTTATTTCAATTTTTTGCTTTTTAATTTCTTTTTTTTAACTATCCTATTGGCCTAGTTGTGTGAAGCCATCTTTCTCTCTGTCATGTGTCTTTTTCAGATTTCTTGAAGATGTTAGCCCCTAGTTTCTCTTTTCATGTCTGCTTTGTTCTTGTGGCAGGGTTTTATTGAATTAACCATATCTTGGAAGACAAAAGTTCTCTTTGTCGGTTGCTAATCAGTAACTTGCAAATGCCGAAAGCAAGGTATGAATCCTCTACTGGTAATGCTTACATGTTGCAGATTTCCACGTATGTTGCACTCTATAATTACCAATTATGGCTATGAAATTTTTTTTTTTTTTCCCAAAATACATGTTTTAAAAGTATAGGGCATAGATAAGGCATCCATTTTTCTCATCTATTGTGGGCATATGGAGTTTGCGTGATGATCAATATTCTAGAATATAAATCAGCCTTACTGCTAATGATTTTGCATATTGAGGAGTTTTCAGTGAGATCTATTTAAGAATCTATTCTATTGTTATATTGGCTGTCATGCCATGTTTGAATGGTGGCTTGAACTGATGCTATATTAGATATAATTTGATTTTTATGTAATCTGGTACAAAGTTGGACATAGTTTAATCTGAATTTACCCTATGCAAAAATGGCAGGCCGATATTGGGCCTGAGATGAGCATGTGTGCAAAATTTAGGGTTCAACGAACCGCTCTTAACTTTAGCGGGCAGTATAAGCCTGTTGGCTTATAGGATCTTTTTCCACACACACTCGCACCAATTGTGCCTTTATGCATGTGGGTATCATTGGCACTATGGCCAGACCCTTTCGAGTTTGTTTTCTGATTCTGCCCATCTGATCTCAGCTCTTTCAAAATCTCTCTTTCTTTTAGGATCTTGAAAAAGGTGGTGGTATCTATTATTAAAACTCTAAAAGTGACTCAAGTCCCCATATTTACTTCATTTTTCCCTTTTCTGTTTGATCTTTCACAGATGTGATCTTAGATTGACACTTTTTACTGGGTGTGTTGCAGAGGAGAAATGCCTCAAAGGTCCTCTCCAACTGCTGTGGCTTCCCGACCTCTGCAACTAAAGACATTGAGCCCCCATGACCATGATACTACACATCGTAGTCCCAAACTCGGAGATCGTAGGTCTCCCAGGAGCCCCCTCCCTGAGGTAAGTACATATATATGTTTATTCATTCTTTGACACACATCACATATATTTTTTATTCACTTGTACATACCTACATAACATAGGTCCATTGGAATGCATGCATACATACACATTAATGTGATTAACAGATACACATTTAGTTTTACTTATCGTTCTCCAAGTCTTAGCCTCTTTATAATTTTCTAACTCTGACTCTTGTGTCTGTGTTTAAAATAAATTTTTGACTTTTAAAATACGTTTTTGGACATAAATTTTTCTTATGACATGCCGATGGGTTCCAAAAATTCCTTTCTCCCAGACTTCATTTGAAATTCATCTAGAAAAAGCAGAAGCACTATGTAAGATCTACAGGGTTTCGAAAAAAGGAAAAAAAGAAAGAAAGAAAAAAAGCAAATGAATTTAGTTCCATATTCCTTTAAACTCCAATTTATGTGAATTGCTGTTTTTTTTTTTTTAATGTTCTGATCATCTATGTCTTCGGGAAATTTTCACTTGTATAGCCAAGAAAGCGAACCAGTAAGATCTCCATCCTTGAAACCCAACTGAGCCAAGTTCAAGACGAAGTAAAGAAGCTCAAGGAGAAGCTTGCTTCTGCCGAAACTGCCAAGAAGAAGGCCCTAGACGAGCTCGAAGAAACGAAGTGCCAAATCTCTCAGTTCCATGATGTACCATCCCAAGATATACAGCCCAATCCTACCAATGATACACCACCCCTGTCATCCCATGATACACCACCATTTGGGACAGAAACCCTGGAGATTCCGGTAGGTGCACCAGAAAATAAGGTGGAAGAGGTGAGGGCAAAATCAGTTGAGAAAAAGGAGGTTGAGGATCCAAGGGCAAAATCTGAAGAAAAAATGGGCATTGAAGAGCCTAGGGCAATATTGGAAGATAAAATAGTGGTTGAAGAGTCCATGGCAAAATCATTAGAGAAAGAGGAGGTTGAAGAGCCTGAAGACAAATTGGAAGAGAAAACAGAGGTGAAAGAGTTGGGGGCAAAACTGGAAGAGAAAAAGATGGTTAAGGAGCAGAGGGCTGAGTTTGAGATAGAAGAGGTTGAGTGGCCTGGGGCAAAATCGTCAGATATAAGCGAAGCTGAGGACCCATTGGCAAAGAAGCAAGAGTTGGAACAAATAAGGGCAAAACTGGAAAAAAAAGAAAAGGAGAATGAGGAGCTGAGGGACGGGCCAAGCCGAGTCAAAGCTGAGCTCGAAGCTGAGAAAGAGAGATCGGCTCAGCTTGAGGCCCAGCTCAAAGAAGCCGAGTCAGCTCGGCTCGTGTTAGAGAATGAGATGAAAAGAGCCAGAGTTCAGAGTGAGCAGTGGAGGAAGGCAGCTGAGGCTGCAGCTGCTGTTTTGGCCAGCACAGAGCCGAATGGAATTGGTGGTTCGGATCGGGCAGTCTCTCGGTTCGGTGGGTTCGAGCCAACTGGTTACGAAGGGTTGGGGTCGCCTGTTGGTGATGAGATGGAAGGAGGGAAGAGGAAGGGGATGAGAATGTTTGGGGAATTGTGGAAAAGGAAAGGGCAAAAGTGAACCTTGTCTTTCACTTTACTTTTTTTTTTTTCGTATCTCCTTTTCTAATTTTTCTTAATTTCTTGTGTGCTAGGTTTATTTTTCCCTTCTTTCTTTTATGTTCTTTAGGCTTAAAAGGCGCGCTTTGGTGTCCTGGTTTTTGGATGTTGAATGGTAATATAAATGGGCATAGTACAAAGGTTTAGGCTGAGGACTAAAGTAGGCCTGTTTTGTACCACTCAAACGGAATTATTTGTTGTTATTTTTTTTTATTATTTAAGATAGTCATTTATTTTTTGTATATAAAGGTCACAATCATTTTTGTCTCTTAAATTTCAAAATGGGTGTTTTAGAACAAAAAAAAATACTTGAATTTCATAATTCATCTTAAGCTATTTAATTTGATATTTAATGAGTCGAATGATTGTGACTTCTATATACAAAAGATAAATGGTTTTTTTGTAGACAATTCCCTTGCTATAAAAAAAAACCTTATGTTTTTAGTCACAACCCTCTTTTAATATTAGCATTGGACAAAGACCTTGCCGTTTGTTTGTTGGATCAAGATTTTGGGGCATGCCGGCCATTGTTACAGTATGGGTTGGATGACCCAAATTTAACAATCTAGGCAGCTCGTGTTTAGGTCAGAAGTATTTTTGGCTTTGTTTATTATGTGTTTTATTTTTCTTCATGCATCTAGAATCTACACTTTTTCGCAAAATTTCAGCTCAAAATGATTTATAGAAAATTAATTAAAAAATAAAGTGCTCATGCATGTTGGCTGCTGGCTTTTGGATATGCTTAAATTAAATTTGGGTTGTCAAATACTATTTAAAATGTTAGGTGGCTCTTAAGATCATCTTTCTTGTTTATTTATTTAAGAAATAATAGGAGTGCAATTTTTGCATTCAATTTCAATGTAGTGTTAACCTGCAGGGAATGGGCATTTTCCATGAACTATGTGCGCTTCACAAGTTCAATAGCCACATATGAAAAGCTTATAACCCCATAGAAAACAAGTCTTTTACACATCAGAAAAAGTGTTTTGTGAGTCAGGCGGACTCACTAGCCTGCACAATCATTAATGTCCATGCACACAACTAAAGATTCATGTCCAATGGATGGGAAAATATTCTAATAAAAAATATTTTAAAATTTTATTTTATTTTTTATATTCATGATCATCATAGTGTAGATCATGGATCACTATAAAATTGATTTCAAGGTCGATACAAATAATGGGTCTTCAAGGAAGCCCACATGAAAATAGTACGAGTCGGGGACTCATAAAAACCAGGTCTTTTACATAAATCAAAATCTTCTTGGAAGATACTTGCTATTTGCCATTACATTTTTCCAATCCTCCATTCACTCCCTTGATTTTGTGGATCGAGCTTTCGCAACCTAATGACCATCTCTACAAAATAAATAATATTCAAATGCACTGTGTACGCCTCTATGTATATTCTTTAGAAAATAATGTTTTATTATCATCAAAGTTTTTTTTTAATTATTTGGGATCGGCTTAGAAAACAATGTTTAACATTAAAATAAAGAGCATTTAATAATGTGACTATTAGATTTCAGTACTTCGGAACACAAAATCTAATTCGATTTCAGTATGGAAATACTCAAACTAATGATGTTCCAAAACTTTGCAAAACTGAGTGCTCTTTTATTTTGAAAATACTCATCTAATGATCCCAGATAGCTCGTTTGCTCTTTTATTTTTTAAAATACTCAGTCAATCCCAAGTTGAATCCAAGGTATCCTTTACTAAGCAATATATTAAATTATTAATAACCACATTTAGAACCTTAAAAAAGGAAGGGAAAACATTGGAAAAGTCCTTGTAAAAGTTGGATATCTAAGAAAAGAATATTTTATTTTATATTTTATGTTGAAATTGTGAACTGAAATATCTTCTGATATTTATATGTAAAAATGCGATTGGGAAGTTTAGGTTTCGGGCCCATTTTTTAGTGAAGCAGGATTCGGAACTCGCACTTGGGACCTGAGATATCACTTGTATTGATGGGCCCAGAACTCCAATTTTCATACCCATCATTGTAATAGTTTTTTTTTTTGGTAAAGCTGGGTTCAAAACTTCTTGTTTTGAACCTGCCATTTTTTTTATTTATTGAAATGGTGCAGGTGGAGCTTCAAGTTCCAAACGCAGCACATATTTTTTTCATTTTGAATCCATGGGTTTCGAATTTCAAGTTCCTAACCCACTATGCAATTTTTTAAAAAAATGTTGGGTTTGGAATTTCAAGTTCCAATCACACCACACAATCTTTTTGCAAAACTAGTGAGTTGCTCAACCACAACTCCTTTCGCTAATAGAAAATATAAAAAAGCTATTTTGAACATGTTATATTGTGGAAAAGAAAGGAAAAAGGAAAAAAGTCTCAACATAAAATATAAAATGGAACTATATGTCATTAGACCATTTACTTTTAATGAGGAAGTCAGATGTGATAGATGGCAAGTAGTGTCTTCTTGATTGGGCATAAAGTCTAAATAAAATTTTTCGAATTATGTGATATTCTTCAAGCTATCTATATGTGATGGTCAAGAGTGATTGTGACCTCTTTATACCAAAATAAATAGTCTTATAATGTACAATTTCGTATGAAGTAACAACGATTGTGTGAGATATGAACAATATATTGGGATTTTTCTATAATTTCTCCAAAATCAGACCGAGAGACCTTGATTAAAAAGCATCATCATCGGAGCATTTTTCCACTTATTGGGATTAGCTATATGAATCTTGGTCCGTCATTCTACTCTATTATTAGTAATACCCTCAGTGACATCATAAGTCTTCATATATTTTCTCACTACTTTTAACCATATCCTTTTAAACCTACCCTTTGTCTTTTTTTAACTTTCTAGTTAAACCAACTCACACTTGCAGTTAATCTTTGTTGCATATAGCCAACCCACCTAAGTCTAATATCTTATCTTATTATCTATTGGAACCGTACCTAGGTTCTCTCAAATGTATTTATTCGAATTCTATCATTATTGGCTTGCCACTCATTCATCTCAACGTCCTCATCTCAATTACAATAATCCTATGTGTATGTTGTTCCTTGACCATCCAACATTTCGCCTTATAAAGCAAACCTAGTCTCACAATTATCTTATAGAACTTTCCCTTCAACATCATTGGTATGCGACGATCACATAAAACTTTGGTTGCATATTTCTACTTCGTCTATCCAGCTTCAATTTTACATGAGACATGTTCCTCGATCTTTCCATTTTTTTGGATTATTGAACCACAATATCAAAAGCGTGCTCTTGTTTATATTTTTTGGCAGTCAATCTTAATTACTTTCTCATCTCTTGCCTATTATTACGAAGCTTGCATTCTATGTACTATTTTTTAGTCCGACTAATTTTAAAAATTTTAGATTCTAGAGCATTCCTCCAAAGCTCTAACTTTGTGTTGATGCCGTTTCAGTTCTCATCGACCAAAACTATGTCATTTACAAACAACATATACCTCAGTACTTCATTTTGTAAAATAAAAAAGAGAACTTTTTTTTTTTGGTAGTATAAAAGAACATCATGTAACATATAACAGTTTAAGGGAAAAAAAGGGTTAGATACTATGAAACCATTTATCTTTATCGTATAGAGGTCATGAATTACTACTAGCCATTAGATGTCAAATTGGATGGCCTTCAATGTTACAAAAGTCTTTGAACAAAGTTCATTGAGAGAGTATGTTGGAATTTTGAGTCTAGTCACTTATCAGTAAAGCTCTTCATTTGTTTCCAAAGGCCAAAGTTCATTGAGAAGAGTATGTCGGTATTTATAAAGTATTTATTTTGATTTATTAATACCACATTATCTTTCTTCAAGGGAAGACAATAAATCCCAATTTAGAAGAACTTGATGAAAAAGAAAAAAAAAAACACCATTAAGAAATAGAAAAAAGAATAGGTGACCTTCAAACACATTTACTTTGAACGAAAAACAAGAGTAGGTTCAAAATTGTCCCAATCCAATTTCCTTCGTGGGCTCAATTTGTTCCCTAACCCCATGCTTTATAGGTGGGCGTTTTGTCTTTCGATGGGTCTCAAAACCAAGTGTTACTTCTGGAACCTTCTTCTCGTTTATCAAAACCCTGCAAAAACCCATCAGTTCAGAGAGGGGAAAACCCTATCAATCAGTCGCTAACAAGTGCTGCTGCTTAGATCACCCTCTGTGTTGAGTTTATTTGAATACAGAGAGAAATGGCGGACGAGCTGTCTCAGGACTTGGAGGAGCTTCGCCACCTTCGCTCCATTGCCAAGAGACCTCGTATTATCTCTCTCCTCTCTTCCGAGGTTCTAAGCCTAGAGAAGGTAAAACGCTCCTTTCTCTCTCGTAGTGATTTCAAACTTGTTTCTCCTTTCGTGTTTTTTCTTGTCTGTTTTGTTTTCCTCTCTCTCTCTCTCTC